TTTCTTACTTTTTCACTAGCTGCAATGGTGTCTTTCAGGTCAGAAAGTCTATTTTCACTTTCACACAAATGGTTTTGTCAGCTTGTGATTGAGGTTTTAATTTCCTGTATATCACTTTGAACCTGTTTCATACATTCTATTTCTTTCCTAAACTGCTTATTCAGGGGTTCCATCATTTTTATATTCTGCTCTATTTTTTTTTTATCAGTATATTCTTTAGAGGCACTTAGTACTTCTTTGATTATAGTTATCACCAAATTTTTTAGTTCAGAAATTATTTCTGATCTGATTTCTTCTATACCTTTCTGCAGTTGTTTCTTAATTTCCAATGCTATTATTTCAGAGATTTCAGGTGTATGATTTCTAGTTTCCTCTATGCTACTGTCTTCTGCATTTGTACTGGGTGGACACGGGGCCTGAAACTGCATTTTGTTCCTTCTCTTTGTCATTTTGTATACCACTGTCTTCTGATCTTTGGTGTAGAGCTTAGATAGTTATTACCTTAGCACCAGGTCTGGATCTACGAAGTTCAGATTCCTCCATGTGGGTGTTGTTTGAATCTGACTGCTGTGCTCCACTTCTTTCTGCTGTAGCCGTTAGAGTTGAACCCTTTGTGTCTCTCTGGCAAGATGTTCTGCTCCTGAATCAGTTGGGTGGGTCTTGCCTTTAGCCTCTTTGCAGGGAGTTCTGCTGACGGGTTCCTCGCTGGACCTGCACTCTGGGTCGAATGAGGATCTGCGGGCCCTGGGTGGTCTCACTTACATGCCGGGCCTGGGCTCTAGATCTATTCAGGATCCGCGGGCCCCGGGTCGTCTTACTCACTCCCTGGGCCTGGGCTCTGGGTCTGTTCAGGATCCCACAGCCCCGGGTCGTCTCACTCACTCCCTGGGCCTGGGCTGTGGGTCTATTCAGGACGCCACGGCCCGGGGTTGTCTCACTCACTCCGGGCCTGGGCTCTGGGTCTATTCAGGATCCAGCATGCCCCGGGTTGTCTGACTCACTCACCGGGTCTGCGCTCTGGGTCTATTCAGGATCCGCAGGCCCCGGGTCGCCTCACTCACTCGCTGGGCCTGGGCCTGGGCTCTGGGTCTATTCAGGATCCGCGGCCCCGAGTCGTCTCCAATTTGAAATTTTAACCACAAAAAACCCCTCCAAAATAACACTTGCTATGCTGGGTTTATCTTCATAGATCAAAAAGGCTCTCACATGAACCACAGGACACTTTGTGGCACCAAACAGTAATTCTTCATTGACAGTAGAGAAGGATAGCCTTCAGATTTATCCAAAATTTTCTCATGTCAGTTTCTATTACTATTCCCAACTAAAATATTACATAAAAAGTTGAAAAGGGTTTATTTAAATGTTTCATAAAATTTTAAGACATGAAACTGGAAAATCTATACTGTTAAAATACATGGAAATTATTTTCCAAAAATATTCTACTTTTACCTATCTTGTCCTTACTTACCTGAAATGAGAGGGACAGAATGCAAATTCTTCATTAGTAGAGGAGAAAGTATCATCCTTTGGAAAGCATGGTTGGGGGGGCCTTTCCCAACACCAGCTACCCTCAGGGTGTACGCTGTACACAGCACTCCCTGAAGGAAAGGCCAGCTGCACTTATTCTGTCTAGCATGTGACCAAGTTTCTCAGGCTTTTGTCTCTGGAAACTGTTTCATTAATGTGAGGCTAGGATAAAACTGCCTTCCTCTGGGCTTCATAAATCATTCTAACTCTAAAAAATGTCAGAAACTTGAAACTTGCAGGGTACCAAAAAGAGAAGTCTGAATTACCTTGTTCACAGTCTTTAAAAAATCATACAAACTTTTAAGATTCACTGGAATAAAAAGTCATCCGCAGCTCTGGGACATGCCAGCCACCATTTGGCACTAGGCCTTGGTCTGTGTTGCAGGTAGGTCTGAGTGCTTAGTCTAAGTCCATATTAGTTATCAGCATTGACACAAGAAGTTTTAAGCTTTATGTATTTTCAGGGAATGAAAACTGTAACACGTCGAGAACAAAGCATATGAAGCCACTATTTTATACCAAGTAAGATATAACCATACATTTTAAAGAAATTTTAAATCATCTAAGGAAAGGCACACTGGAATTTTTTTTTTTTTTTTTTTTTGTACATCAAGAAAATGCTCTGTATTCATGAAAATTAAAGTTTGAATTATGATATTATCAAAGACACTTACCCCATTGGTTTAGTGGTAGTGTTACCAGAGTTGGCAGGAGCTGAGGCCATCTTGGCAAAAGCCCTATGAAATAATGAAATTAATTAAAAGGAGTCTAATGGTATCCACTACTCAGTATCATACTGAAATATTGACTATAATTTCCACTATGAAGATATTTTCTGAAAAGATAATTTTTCAGATAATATACATTACAATTAGCACTAAAATACTGAGAAACTTGGTATCTTTTTTCTATCTGCTCATTAAGGACAAGAAGTGAGGTGGAGACCTCTTGGCTGAAGAGAACAATCCCACAATGATGAAATTTAGTTTTTACAATGTTCTCCATATTCTAGCTTATTTGTTGCCACATATATCCTTTCATCCATGGTGTCCCACATTTCAAGACTCATTTCAAAGCCATTTTATCATTATTCTTTTAGTTTTATGACCTAATGATTTTCCCTTTACTTATACTCTTTAATGTACAATACACTTAACTGAATAAAGTCATTTATTTTCCACTCTTTCAATTGCTCTCTAAAATTACTACTAACCTATAGAATGATTTAAAAAACCTCTTTAATCTGCAAGATTAGACCCAGTCCTAGCCCAGGTCCTGTGAGTGTGTGGAGAGCTTCCTGGTACTCTGAACCGG